TCTGGTGGCCTCAAATGTGGAAGGCAGTTAAAGATTTTGTACAATCATGTGAAGTTTGCTCAAGATCGAAAACTCCTTGTCATCGACCTTTTGGACTTCTTCAGCCATTACCCATTCCAAAACAACCATGGTCTTCTGTTTCTATGGACTTCATCACGGATCTTCCAATCTCAAGTTCTTATGACTCTATATTCGTGATAGTAGATCATTTTACCAAGATGGCACATTTTGTACCACGTACAAAATCTATCACAGGTGAAGAAATAGCTAAGCTCTTTCTTGACGATATCTATCGCTATCATGGATTACCCAAGGATATTATATCAGATAGGGAAACTCAATTTGTATCAAGATTTTGGCGAACTCTTTTCAAGATTTTAAAAGTGAATATAAAACTATCTTCGGCATTCCATCCTCAAACTGATGGACAAATGGAGCGTATTGATCAAGTTTTGGAGCAATATTTAAGATGTACAATTAACTACCAACAAAATGATTGGACAACTCTTCTACCATTGGTAGAGTTTTCTTATAATAATACGGTACATTTTTTTATACAATAAACACCTTTCTTTGCTAATTATGGTTATCATCCATGACTTGATACTTTTGACTTTTCAAAAGTTGATAATCCTGCTGCGAAAGATTTGGCAATTCATTTATCAGAGCTACATGCAACGATGAAGGTGCAGTTAAAAGAGGCTCAACAACAACAAAAGGCCAATGCGGATGTCTATCGAAAGGAACAACCATCATTCGTCTTGGGTGATAAGGTATGGCTACTTCGTCGTAATATCAAGACCACTCGTTCTTGTGACAAGTTGGACTATCGGAGGCTGGGACCATTTTCTATTTCTGCATAAATCAATCCAGTTGCATATCGTTTACATCTACCGGAGTCAATGAAAATCCATCCAGTATTCCACGTGTCTCTTCTTGAACCATACAAGACAGTGGACATACCAAGAAGACGACAAGCTCTACCTCCTCCTATAGAAGTGGACAATAATGAAGAGTTTGAAGTAGAAGAAGTCTTAGATTCAAGGCGACACCAAAATAAATTAGAATATCTTATCCATTGGCGCGGATATGGTATTAGTGAACACACATGGGAGCCAATAAAAAATCTTGCAAATGCAGCAAAGGCGGTGGAGGCTTTTCATTGACGACATCCATCAAAATCAAGATGAAAACCTTCTTTATAAAAGAAACAACATCTAGGCAAGATAACATTCTACTTTTAATTTTTGTTCGTAGCTTCGTTGTAGTAGTGGCGCTCAAGAGATATAGAACCAACAACCAGCACATTCAACTCAAGAGCCTTCATTTGCTGACCTGCTGGATGAGACATTACGATTGTCACAACCTTCAAGATGACGCAATCGAGATGAAGATCTTCAAGAACGACATGTTCTTCCTCGAATAGATGGTGAGATACAACACGTTTGGTATCACGATTTGGGAAGGGACTCCCAATGTTTGGTGATTTTGCTAGAGGTAGGAACAACTCTTGATGGTGTTTCAAATATTCTATTCGAAGGAAGTTACGAAGGCCTCAACAATGATCAAATAACTGGGTGGGGTGGTCTTCCCGCCCTGGTATGGGACACTACCGATGGTTGAGAGGCCCTATCAATCATCTTCGAAGAGAACAGAGATCAGAGTATGTGGCAAATACAATTCGTCCCATCATAGATTTTCTCAACATATGATGACCGCTCCTCGTGGAACTCGTTTCTAGAAGGGGGGGTAATGTCACGGCCATAATCATGTAAGCTAATAATTACATATACAAATAGGTAGAAGTAAGTAAAAGTAGGTAAAAGTAAGTTAATTCTATAATATTTAATATGAAAGCTTCTTAAAAGCTTCCTAGACGCTGCTTTGACTTCATAGGTGTCTTTAATTGACTTTTTGGATTAGAAACATGGTCAACAAGTTGGCCATGTACCACACATGTTGTTAGCTTGAAGACACGGCATAAAATGCAGGCTGCTTCGGTGAATATACAACATTTGTGAGCCCGTTCCCTCGTCAATCAATATTGAAGTGCCAACACTCAATACTCCACGAAATTACATACTCGCTCCTGATTCTGTTTAATTACTACATACACGACGTGACTTCATTTACCTTTGCAAAGCTTGCACAAACAACAGCTATTTCAACTCCTTTCCATCATATCGACACACTCACCAATCGCATAGAAAGGTCCATAAGTCTATTGAAATGCTTTGAAGAATGCACAATGGGTGTCGAGAAAGGAAACAAAACACACACAAAGTTAACGGATCGTGAGTAAATTCTTGGTCGAGCAATGAATTCTGACAGCAAAATGAAATCAGAGCATATTGCAACGATGTACATCGAATTCTTCTTGAACTGTGGCCCACAATCCCTGAACCCTAAACCCTAAACCCTAAAACACTCGATTTGAGACTTTACAGTGTTTAGAATTCTTGTAGTAGTTTCTGTGTGATTAATGTTTTCACATGCTAAATTGTTGTATTCCTTCATCTTATCAGCAGTTCTATGGAGTGGTGTTTTTTTCATTTTGCTTTTTGAGAACTTGTGCTTTGGAATAATTATCTCATTCTTTGGTACTTTAAAAACTTGTGTTTAAAAACATATAATTTCAAAACTTATTTTTAAAAATTTCTAGAACTAATTATAAAAACTCTTTGCAACTCAAAAAAACTTTAATATACAGTACTTTACATTTTATGATTATTATTATTATTATAACTACAAATACAAGTTATTTTTAAAGTTAAAAATATATATCATAAAACAAAAAATAAATCAAGAAATTGTAGAAGTAATATTTGCTATAATTACAGGAAGAATAAGTTGTCAATAATTTGAATATGTAATAGAATAATTTGATTTGTAATATTTTGACTTGGAAAGATTATCGACTTTTTCCAAAAACATTTATAGGATTAGAATAATATAATATTTTTTAATCAAAACCATAGAATATTACCTATATAAATTTTTAATAACTAAATAATTAAATATTATCAAGGAAAAAATATATATATATATATATATATATATATATATATTGAAATCTATATTAATAATAATTATAATAAGAATTTATTCTAATATAAAACAACTAAATGTAATTGAAAGTAATAATTATATTAATTTAAATAACATTCAAGTATACATTGTGTATTAATTTGAAGATTATTTTTTATTATTTTTTATATTATTTGTATATATATATATATATATATATATATATATGTGTGTGTGTGTGTGTGTGTATGTGTGTGTTTATTTAGTTGTATATTTTTAAAATATTTTAAAATTAAATGACTACATCTAAAATCTAAAGTCTACATAAACATAAATAAAAATAATAATAAAAAAATTAAAAAAAATTAAAAAAACTAATAGATGTATGTATTTTAAACTTCTTTTATATCTCATTTGTAAATACAATTGTTCTTTTGCTAATTAATATTACTTTTTCTTTAAAAAATCATTATTAAAACAACAAATAATATTAGATAATTGGTTGTATAAGTACATATCTTTATTAATTTATAAAATTTAATAAAAATCAATAAACTATTAGATATCAAAATCAATCGATTGTAAGTTATCAATCAATTATTTGATATCAAAACATCAAACAGTATTTAGATATTAGAGGTTATTAATTATGCACCATAGAACAATACAATATTTAGATATTAGAGGTTATTAATTATGCACCATAGAACAAAGTTTTTTTTAAAAAAAATTGATTAATTATTGGAGACTATTATTATTAGGAAAATCAATTATTGGATGGACAACTATGTGTATATATATATATATATATATATATATCTCTTAAAGTAGAACTTTATTATTTTCAACTAGATGAAGTAATAAATATGCTATTGTGCAAAAATATTATGTGAACAATGTGGAAAATACTTATTTTTAAAAATAAGTGTAATAATTATAAAGAATTTGATTTTGACATAAGGAAAAAAATTAAAAATCTATTAATTTAAATATGTTCTTTATTATAAAACTTTTTAAAAAGGATGTCTACAACATAAAGGAACCAAGTGGGTTTGTGAAGTGATGCCTAAGATTAGTTCCACCATGTGTAAAAAGTCATAAATATAGTTTTGTCAACACAAACTTAAAATGTCAAAAAATGCCTTATGTAATGCTCATATTGAAAAGTTCTTAATTACTAATAGTGTTGGAAATTTAGACATAAAGGTGGTACTTTTGAATTCTTTAGAAGGTAATGTAAGAGGAATATTTTGATAATCTCACTCCCAATTTTTAAAAGTTTCATAAAGACTATGAGATAATAAGATTTGTAATGGAATTTTACCACTAATGATTTTATATATTTGCAAATTGGTAGGATGGTTGTGTATACTTTGGAGTGTATTAAATCTTAAGTTTCAAGATAAAATATTTTGATATTTTAAATTCTACACCAAAAGTAATTTACAAATCATTTTATAAAGTTATAGTGTTAAAATTCACATAATCTTCCAATAGGTTGGGTGATTATTTATGCATTAATAGTATTGTTTAGAAAACAATTTAGAATTTGGGACTTGTACAACCTTGTAAGTGTAAAGTTGGTAATGAAATGTTAATTGCTAAATATTTTTGATAATATTAGCAAGGATTACAATACCACAATGCATTTAGTAATGATGGCTTTTAGACTATGACAAACGAGTGAAAATAGCTACAATTTACTGGTTGCACAAAGGACGAGGATTTTCCCATAATTGCATTTGGTGTAAAATGAAGCCTGCATAACAACACCATTCCATTTCTTGCCCCACAGACAAAATTTCTTGGACAGGAATGAATACCACAAATTTTTCTTTCTGTGATGGAGGAGTACACTACCACTACGACAGTTCCTTCGTCCCAAAGTTAGTGTGGCTCTTGTGCGTGATCATGTCATCACAACCCATAAATCATGCGGTATAAGTTGACGGTAGGAAGAGTGGAAATGATTATAACGACCATCGACACCAGATGCTACTCAGTACGCAACCTCTTCTCCATAACCGCACACTGTTCTAAGTGAAATAAACCTCTGGTGGCTCTTTCCTGTCCTCAGCAACGAAACAAATGGTGCCTGTGTATCTTGACGCCATGATTAATGCATGTCTCAAAAATCGACATACTTTCTCAGTACAAATCATGACGTATTGACTTTCATGCCAGCCTCGCATTTTTATTATAAATGAAAGAATGATTATTGCCCAACTTGGGCCTCTTCACTGTAATTGAATCAACTGAACTCGTCGGTGGAAAATACCGTGTCAATTTAGCTCAACATTTTAACCTCAATCGTGATTGGAATTGCAAGAAGTGCCTTCATATGTTCAACTGTCTACAATTTTGAGTTTGCTTTGTTACTTGGAATCTGCAGGGCCTCGTAGTGACCAAATCCATGATAGAGGACCTGAATCGGATCGGTCTTGCTGTGTTCCTGGCCATATTCGGCTATGGAAATTAGACCGCTTTTGGTTTTCTCTTCAATCATGTACACCGTAATCGGCATTCTGCGATCACACAGATGGACAACTTCAACATTAATGAATACACAAGACTGCAAAAAGAGACCACCTGTACAATAACCTCCAAGCAAATGAAATTTCATGTCTAAAAGTAAAACTCTTTAGTTGAAAACTTACTCGAGTACGTGGGAAAGCATGAGAAGCTCGGGTTCACCACCCCACACATGGGTCTGGCGCATTCGTTCTACGTACTGGTCAAAATCTCCCTCGATAAACCACTCAGTTGAGTCTCTTCTCTTGATAAGCTCATCAGCAACGCTGCAGCGCAGTTCATCGGCAAGCTGCCGTTGAGTGGTCTCATCTGGAGCATCCCTCCCGCGCCGCAAGCATAAGCCGTGTGCAACAGCACGGAACAAACATCGCCCATCTCCTGGGATTCCTGTCATCGATAATAAAATATTTTTTAAAAAAAACACACAGAAACACACAGAAACAGAGCAGTCAATTGTGGTTCAAAGGCTGTAGCTGTACAAATAAGGAAAAGAACCCATTAAGAAGTACACTAAGAACAATCCAACATAATAAAAGGTGTTCAGACCCTGAAGTTATGTTGCACAGTAAAGAGGCCCTAAGTCTTACCAGTGACAGTGTAATCTGTAATGATTTCCTTTCCATGTCCAGATTGTTCACTTAGAGGGGTCACAGAAGTAGACTCCGCGGATTGATTATCAGGCTTTAAAAGAGCTGGTGGTGGAAGTAAATTATCTACACCCGCTTCAGTGAGAACAGGAGAAGATTCAGGAGTAATGAATGGTACAGAGGCTGCGGAAAAGCAAGCGCAGACACCGAAGAGAAGCCAAGCTGAGTGACGGCCGTGTAACCAACGAGCCGGGCGAGCATCCCAAGCTGCATTCCACGACCCTTCGCTCAGACATCCAGCCATAGCAGTCCTGACATTCAGACTGCTCAGCTTTGGGAGGGCAACGTTATCCAACGGAAGTCCACCAGGTCTCAATCTGCTCAAAGGCTTCGAAGAATTGTCAACCTGCGAATCATAGAAGCAAGGATATTCTAGTCAGCTCAGCTTGGCTTCTCTACGGCGCATGGCTACAACGAAATAGCGCATGGGCATAAAAAATTGACCGAAGGCTTAATTTACTTCGGTGCGAAGAAAATCATACTAAACTACATAAGTAAAAGCCATCCCAATCAACTTATGTAGCAAACTCTTACCAAATTAGAATCAGAACTCCCAAGCATCATACTTGCAACGGAGTCGATTCCACATCTTCCGACTGATAATGATCGGATCGACGTCATACTGAAATCACTTTCTAAGGGTGCCAAGTGTCTTGCGGGAAGAAGTGCATGCCAAATGGTTGCACCCACCTTCCCATCAGCTGCCAATATGCAAGAACTTGCATGATTATGAAAACTTGTCATACTAGTACAGGGAGACATGTGACCACAAGTCTCTTGATTAGTTAGTAAAGATACATCTTGACGTGAGTTGCTCCCTTTACCCGACCTCCGAAATGCTCTTGACAAAGATGCAGTGGCAGGCGCCCGTGTCACCAGTTTGAAACTGTGGGCTCGGGGACTAGAGGGATGTAGCGGAGGGAGCGCCACTTTTACTGACTGAAGTGAATGGGTTCTCTGAGTGTGCGATGAAATTCCCTCGCAATGTACAAATGATCGAATGCAAGGGGGCTTCCAGATTGCAGAAACGCGGCAACACTTGGGTCCGAGCATGTGCCCTGATAGATCAGATGTCATAAACAATTTCTTCTTGACCCGCTCGTGCGTCACGGAAAATCAAAGAACGAAGGTTTGATGTTTACATTCAACAACTCTCAATCCATTATATTACAGCATCATCGCCATCAACACCTGCAGCAACTAATTTTTAAAAAATCGTTAGAAATATCTTTCACCAAAGGAGACCATTTACTTCAGCAGTGCAAGGACAGGAAATGTTCAGAGGAGCAAATGTATGGTAAGTAAGAAATTAATATTGAATGAGGTATAACTAGACTCTTGAATAAGTAAATGTCAGTCTACAGTTCCGTTATTAACGTACAGGGAGGTCCTCTCAATTAAAATCGCAAGTAAAGATGAAAACGAGATCAAGTATCAATAAGCAAAACCTCATTACACAAAAGTTCTAACGAGGCAGGAAGAGACTGAGAAATACATTCTTCTTCAAAGAGAAACAGATATGTGTAGCTAATGACAAGTACATCCAATTCAATTCTGCGGTAAACGCAAAGACTTCACAAATCAACTAGCAGAGTGAAGGCAAAAAGATCTCATTGGAACAGTGAATTCTACACAAAAGCCAAAGAGATTTCATTCCCACAAAGTCTCGTGCGTATGCCCCTTAAACCGGCCTCGCAAGCCAATCTCTCAACGTATGAAAAGAGCTTCAGATATAATCTGAAACGAAAGCTCGTTTAAGCTCTAGAATCTTAGTTGGCCTAGATGACAACCAATCATCAAGCACTCCCATTACACAAAGGATATGACGTTCAGATTGAACAAAACGAAGGTTCCAGCACGCACAATCTAATTTGTACGAATGAGAGCATATACTCCAATCCGGTCACGAAACACGGTCATCAGAAAACAAAATCCAACAGCAACCAGAAAATCATCGAGTTCCGCCACCTCACACCAGCTATCGCTACACTACGACCTAAGCCTACAGCCCCTCAAGACGAGCACTTTATGCGATTTCCATGGTCCATACACAATAGCATTCCCAACCACGAACTAATCCCTCTCCCGTAAGGTTCACAGGAAAGATATCAACCGTACCTCATTCCTGCGGATAAAGTCGCCGTCAAAGGCATCATCCAACCATGCAAGACCAAAATCAGTGTTCTTTCGGAACGAATAACCGCTCCTGCGAAAAGAATTCTCGGAAGCAGCGGCAAACAGCAGCAGCAGAAGAAACTTCTAGAGCTTCCTCGAGAACGCTTCTACGCAAATATTCCAGAATGAATGAAGACTCCCTGAGACAGCTCTGGAACGAAGCAAACAACGGCTCGAAGGACAGAACAAAGAGTCACGGGAGAAGCGGTGAGGGAGAGGTGCGTAGTGACGAGAATACAATCACTCTTGCCCGAAAGAGAAACAGTTGCTTCGGGGCTGTGAGACGATGAGAGAGAGTCCTGAGGGCTATGGCGATATGAGTTCTCACTCCAACGCAGCAACAATGGGACGGGTAACTTTTATTCTGGACAACGTTCGACGTCCGCCATGGCTTCCCAACCACAGCAGCGTGTCTGCAACACCCACAGCCTTCGTGTCAACCCTCTGCACCATCCGGTGCAGGAGGATGAAACCCAGAACTTTCATCCATCCATTTCTCGAAACTTCCTCCCCGCGGCCACGGTCATGGGCTCTCCGTCTACGTCTCGTTCGTCCTTTTTGGGGGACGACTTCGTTGGACTTCGTCGCTGCGGGATGACGATATCTCGCACGGTGAGCAACCTCAACAGGCGAGAAAGACCAATCTAATATAGGGTCCGTATGTATCATGTACTGGACTGTGTATATCTATACTTTTTATTGGTGCCAGCGTGGAAGAGAGTTTATTTGTTTGCAGATTTTTTTTTGATTATGTGTTGATTTTTAACAATTTGAGGATTTGTATTGTGAAATATTTTATTATATTATTCTCATTTTCGACAGTGATCATCAGAATGTGAACTTTCAATAGTGGGAAGATGCTCAACATAGAGAAGCTTCCAGGATGTTTATTTTTGCACATTGAAAATGTGAAAATTCCAAAAATACGTGAAATGATAACAATGGTTACTGTGGATAACCTTGAATGAAAAGTGATGAAATAGATTGTGCTGTTTTGGAAATGAAAAATTAGAGGTGTGTGATATTTGGAATGCCACTGTCAATTAAAAATAGCATGGCTGAGGAATATAGTGTGTGGAATTTTCACGGGTGGATGATCAGAATGGGTGGTTTTGTGGAACTTTTCCAGAAAAAAATTGAAGATTTCATTCCAGCTCTGTGCTACTTCCCAGTAACACTCGAAATTTGTAAAAATAAACAAAAATAATAATAAAAAAATAGTTGGTTGGTCAGTGCTTTATTTCAGTTTGAGTATTCTTTTGCAATATATTTTTTTCTTTATTTCTTTTACATTCAACTCAATAGCAGTGTAAGCCATGAGAGAGCCTGGGAGGCTGGCATTTCTTTTTATCATGTATTGAACTATTCAAGTGTCAAGAGTTTTTGTTTTATGAAAAACTGGTTAAGTGAAGAAGAAAAAGAAAGGGGCATGTAGATGTTAACCTTTCTGTTGTTGGACGTTGTTGGAAGTTTTGGGCAAAAATTGATGGGTGAAGAAAATATTGGCCAGATTCAGTAAAACCTTCTTTTACAAAATATCAACATCTGCAAAATACATTTTTGTATGGATGGATAGAGAGAGAATCGTTTCATAAGATATATATATATATATATATATCAATGGCTATCAAAGTTTACTTGAAGAATTAGTTATATACATATATTTTTATATTTATTTAAAATTTTATTTTTTATTCAAATAAATATTAATTTTAATTTCAAATGCATATTACTTTTATTTCCTTTAAGCATATATGTTTTTAGTACTTATAAACCTTACAAATACATCATATCCTAAAATGACCTTCTAACTTGTATGCTTTTAATTGCTTGTAGTATCAACCATTAATATGCCTCTATTTCATATTATTAATAATCCTTGAACATTATTAAAAATAAACATTTAAATGATTTTTTAGAAAAAAATGAAACTAATATCTTCTCAAAGACATGAATCTCAAAGAACTAAAAGATCAATAAATTCTTGTATCACTTAAAAAAAAAAAAAAAAAAAAAAAAAAAACACTCAAAGCTAGTATAGTATTAAATTGGAATGATTATTGCTAAAGATAAGAAGATTAGAAAGTCTTAAAACAAAACTAATGACTAATAAGGTACTAACAAGAGTGAAGAAGGCTTCACCTTTTCTTTCATATATACTATCTAATTAAGAGTTATATAACAACATTCTATAGGACTTTTGACATGTAGTCAAATTGCAAGACAAATTTCTTTATTTGCAAGGCAAGTTTTTTCTATGCGAGTACCACATAGTTAGTTTGTACCACAAGCTACCAATACGTTGTTGTATTACATGTATTCTTGCTTGAGAATGCATCAGGCACCTAACTCTAGAAGATAAATAGAAATGCAACAATCCTATCAAGTCTAATAAAGTCTTAAATAAAATTTAAATAAATCTTAATAATCCTAATCAAGCTTTGACTAATCTAATATTAATTTAAAAGAAGTTATAAAAGAAATACAAAGAAGTCCTAAACTAATCTCAAAGAAAAATAATAAAAAATCTTAAAGAAATATAAAAATAAATATTTAAAGAAATAACAATAATCTTAAAGAAATATTAGAAATAGAAAATTTTTAAGAAAAAATAAAAAATCCTAAAGAATATTAAAAATAAAAATCTTAAATGAATCTTAACTTAATTCTAATTTAATCTCAATTAAAATTCTAATTAAATCTTAACCTAGTTCTAAATCAAATCTTAATAAAATCCTAATGAAATATTAATGAAATTCTAAACCCTAGACAAATCCTAAACCAAATCATAACCAAATTCTAATCAAATTCTAAATCTTAAATAAAATCTGAACAAATCCTATAGCAAATTGAAACTTCAACAACTAATAATCAAATTGTTGATATCAATTCAAAATTTGCACACTTTTTAATATCTTAGTTGAAAACAAGTACAAGAAAGGTGAATTGATTGCACTTGCCAATTGAGAGAAATGCAAGATAATCCAATCCTACTCCAACTTTAATGCTAAACTTTCAATGCCAATGTTTCTTTTTAAACTATTAAATTACTATAAAATTTTACATAAATGTTGAAAATCAAGTCTACTATCCATATAAATAATTTTCACTCCAACCCAATTAGTACATTGTTAACAATCTTAGAATCAATCATTAACCTTCAAACTCTAATTTTTGAGATGTCAACCCACAAAAACCTTTATATACTTCAATCTAATCATTTGATTGACCTCAAATTATACATACACATTCATAACAAGTACACCAACAAACGATCCAAATTTTACCTATGTAGATGCCACAAAACTTTAAAAAACCTCAAATTTATAAATATATTTTTATTTCTCAAAATCTAAACCTACCAAGAATATTACTAACTTTGAAAACTCGTCAAAATCTCAATATTGATTTAAATGATATAATAATAATGCCCAAAAATCTTTCTTTAACTTTGCTCTAAATATCCACTCTTTGAATTCCAAAAGAACCTTGGAATTGTTGTATAGATGTAATTTTTTGGCTTGGAATCTGATTTTGATCCAAGTTGACAACCAATCCTCTTTGAGTACCAATTTTAAGTAATTTGATATAGATTTTGCTTTAAAATATTTTTAACTCTCTCCTAAATATATATATATATTAATTTCTTATCTCATTTATTTTGATTTGGCTTATTTATGCTTCTACAAAGTAAATAGAAGCTCCTTCTATAAAAAGTAGTATTAAGACTAAATCTTTTATTATCTTTTTATTAATTATCCTTATTTTTCTATTATATCTTTCTATTAGGCTCTTCCATAATAATATTTTTATTTTCATTTTTCACTATATATTCTTATTACCACATGAAAATATATGACACATGGCTAATTTATTTGTCAAGTTTTTAACCTACCAATCACTTAAAAATACATGTAAAGTCAAAACTATGTCTATGAAGCTTCTGAGAAGCTACTCTATAAGATATTATCAAATTAATCTATTTTAAGGTAATTATATAATCTATTATAAGATAATTACTTAGTCTTCTTAGCTATTGATAATATTCTATTCTAAAGAGGGAAGACTACCTTATTATTTGATCTTTGTTGAAGCCTTTGTAACTTCTTTCAAATAAAATATTTATAATACCATCAAGAGTCATTTTTACCTCCAATAAATTTATCAAATATTGAATTCTTTTCTAAAGTTGTCATATCAAACAGATTGTATCTCACCGTCTATTGAAGAAAAAACTTGTTATTTTTAAAAATCATCATTTCTACTATATCATCTTGAAGGCTATGACAATCATAATATTTTGTTCAATAAGTCAATAATAATAGTTTTTAAGTTGAATCTGCTTGTTGTTAGTTCTCTATCACTTTAGTCCCTTAAATATATAGAAACTACAAATAAGGATAGAAAATAGAATGCAATATTTCTTAAATCAAGTTTTTTTTATAACAAATATTTACTATTCTTCATCTTGATTTTGATGGATGTCGTCGATGAAAAGCACCAACCTTCTGTATTATGTTTCTAAGATTTTTTTAGCTGGCTCTTATGTATATTTATTAATATCATATCTATATTAATGGATAATTTATTCAAACCTATTTTGGCATTGCCTTGAGTTTCAAACTTCTTCCATCTTGAACTCTCGATTATTATCCACTTTTATAGGAGGTGGTATTGTATTATGTGTATTCATTTTTGAAAATGCACTAGATATTTAGCTGTAGAAGGTAAGTAGAAATACAATAAAAATCCTATAAAATCTAATAGGATCTTAAATAAACTTCAAATAATCTTTAATAACCATAATCAAATTTTAATCAATCCAAAATAAATTTAAAAAAAGTTACAAAAGAAATACAAAATAGTCTTATATTAATCTCAAAAAAAATATTAAAAAAATATCAAAGAAATATAAACATAAAAATTTAAAAATTTAAAAATAATATTAAATAAATAGAAAATTTTAAGAAATAATAAAAATCCCTAAAAAAAATATTAAAAATAGAAATCTTGAATAAATCCTAAATAAATTCTAATTGAAATTTTAATAAATCTTAACAGAATTTTGAGTCAAATCCTAATAAAATTTTAATAAAATTTAAAATCTAAGTCCAGTTCTAATAAATCCTAGTAAAATCTTAATAAAATCCTAACCAAATTTTAATTAAATCCTAATCAAATCCTAGTCAAATCCTAATCAAATTCTAATCAAATCTTGGTCAAATTGAAATCAAATCTAAACAAAATTCTAAATTCTAATCAAATTCTAGAAAAATCCTAAATTCTAATAAAATCCTAAATGAATCCTAATCAAATTTTAGAACCTAAATCAATCCAAATAAATCCTTATTTAATTCTTGAATCTTAAATAAATCTTAATATTTCTACAATAAATTAAAATAAATTTTAATATTTCTACAATTTAATGAAGTTGCTGTAGGTGCACAATTTTGTGCCTTAGAGTGTGATTTCAATCCAAATTGATAATCGGTATTGTGTGGTAATATGAC